GCCTTATCTATTGTTGCTGTAGTTCTGCATGAAGATTATTTTGTTATCTTCGCTGTTTTTATGACCTGCTTTCTTTAGGGTTTATTATGATGGGGTCCCACTAAATATAGCTTATGTGGAATTCTTAGAATCATATATTAATTCTTCTGCAGCAGAAGAAATTTCAACTGCCATAAAAAGAGCTGCCTCAACCTGTTGTTCTGCTGTCTTATCAGTCAGTTTTGAAATTGTGAAAAAATGCCTTGTCCCTTCCCAAATACTCTGACATTTAAGTAGGCATTGACTGTTCATTTAAAAAATTAATCTGAATTTTCTGAATTCAGGAATTTCCTAAATATGGTATGGTACTGGAAACCAAATATTTATTTTTTTTTTAATATCATGGTATAGATATCTGTAGATTGATGTGAGAGCAGCAACAGCAAAAGAAATTTTCAGTGAGATCATTCAGAGTTTTTCTCTCAGAAGCTGTTTTATATTTGGACTTCCACCTATGTGATTAGGAATATGTGTGACTGCAGTATGTTTTCAATGGATCTTAGTTAGTATCTTTGTTATCTAGATGTACTTCTCTCAGTACAGAAACTTTCAATGGATCTTAGTTAGTATCTTTGTTATCTAGATGTACTTCTATCAGTACAGAAACTTTCTGGAAACTGAAACTATCTTCCAGCTTTCAACTCTGCCCCCATACTACCTATCTCTTTCTTACTTCTTCCTCTGTACTAAACCTACCTCTTTGTAGATGTTTGATAGATCACTGGAAAGGAAAGGAATCACTCCTCTTCAGGCAAGCAGTAAAACACAAATACCAAAACCAAACCAAAACATTAACTGCTTAGTGTAAGCACTTTCTGTGGTTGCAGCTCTGACTGAAGTCATATTTTGTTAGCAACTTGAGGCATGCCTGTATCTTATCATAGTGTATCCCCCCATTGTATATTACTGCTTACATCATTTCACAAAGACAGGCAATAGTAATGATCTTTCCCAAAGGCCCCCTTGTTTGAAGCACTGAAAGCTTTTTTCCCCCCTCGGAAAATTCAATAGCCAAGAACCTCACGGTATGTGGGATAACTCCTAGTGATATTATTCTAACACTGAAAGGAAGCAAAGAGGTGGTATGTATTATTTTACTGGCTACCAGAGAAAAGGTTGTCTTTAAAAATATGTATGACTTTTGCATATGCTTTGTGACAGACATACAGCCTGAAGACTGGCATATGACAAGGGGAAATCAATAAAAAATACATAATGATATTATAAATATTTACAGAATAGCTAGATGAGTATAACATGACAGGGAGAAGTCAAGCAGCCTTTTAGAATAGCAGAACTGTGCTCTAAAATATATTGGAATTTTTCTGGGTGAGTTACAATGGGGTAGAAAGGCATTGGATAGGCTGTCAGGGACATTCACAGCACTTTTGATTAAAGTAATTTCTAAGCAACCATGAGAAAAGCTTCATCAAAGAAGTGCAGCTAAATAAAAGTTGGAAAGCAGAGAAGGGAAAAAGTTTTCAGAAGGGATGACGTACTCACAGAGCATCCCAGTAGAAACCTGTAGGGATTGCTGATTGATTGATTTGTAACCTTGGAAATTAGGGAAAGGGTTCTCTGTGTTTCCAGCAGTATTAAAAATGATACAGCTTTATCCAAAGACTAGGAATTTTCCAAGTCTGCTAAAAGACTTTTTTAACTATATTTTTGCATATAACTACCTACTGATGTAGTTTTGTATCTGTTAAAAATACACATGTAACTTGGGCCTGTAAGACTTCAAGGTTTATAAGCAGCCAATAGAAAAACAAGATGAGAAACAAATTTAGTTCCATAAATAAAAGTAAAACTTTCCTATAGTCATCCTCCTGTCCTGTAGAAATCAGGCCTTAGTGCACAGCTAATTCGTCTACAGGAGGACTTTGACTGTGGGAATTGGCTCCATTTGTTCTCTGTGTTGATGTAAACATCAAGAATAAACTGGAGGTTTTGTAGAGAGAAATTTATTCTTTTCTGCTTGTGCTGGAGATGGTTGAATTTGCTTAGTCTGCAAAAGCTGCAAAAATACATAGGGAAAGAGAAAGTTATACTAAAAATGGAAGAAACTATGCAAAAGACAGCAAAAGACAAGCTTCTTCTGCCTTTATCAAAGGCCCACAAAAGCTTCTTCAGTGGAGATATCCATGTCTGGGGAAAGGTTATTTTTGCTGCTGAATTCTTGCTTATAGAATCCTCTTTCCCGTTAATCCGAACAGAGCACAATGTCATTAATGGTTGGGTCAGGGTGCTAATTATCTTTGTGAAAAATGGATGGACAGACAGTCCAGGAGATAGATGCTTCCTAATTTGTTAAGGGCTTTTAAAGATAAATGGCCTTGGAGTAGATTTGTTTTCAAATGAATAGCCAGTAGAGTGCTCAGAGCAGTGGCACAGTGAGCTCTCATCAGTTTTTCTCAGAGTGATGGATGTTGCATATTCTGTCTGTTGACGTGTTCTTTGCCTTCAGATGTCCCAATTTATTAACAGTTTTTTAGGGCGATGGTGGTAAGTTACTGCAGCCCAATTTTATTACTGTTTTACATCTACCGAGGACTGAGCCCTGTGTGTAGCTTTATATTAACTCAGCAAGCACCATTAAAATATTGACATTTAGGCTCATTTTGGTAGCATTAATTGTAGCATTAATCATAGCATTTTATCATGCGTTAATTGCATGAAATGACTGGTTTGAAATAACTGGAATGTTTACTTTTCTAAAAGCAGGAGAAACAATAATTTCCATTTCTCCACTTTTTCAACGTATAACTGTGCTTTAGAAAACTCAAACAAACAACGAACAACCCAAAACTCTCAACACCCCTGCTTCTGATTGTGTGTGTTGGGGGCATCTTCTTCTTAGCTTCCTTGCAACAACTGAACATGTAAGAGCCGGCAGCTCTTACGGGCCTCAGTGGAAGCTCTTGGAAGTGTCATCTCTGAAAATCAGCCTCTGAAGTCTCAGTGTGAATACCCACAGACAGGCCTTGGCTTCAAAAATGTACCTCAATATATATAACAAGGGTACTCCTGATGTGCAAAAAATGCTGAAAGTCTACAGCGTTTTCATATGTTGTTACAACTTAAGGGTTTCAAACAGGCACAGAAATGCCTTTTGTTATTCACCAACAGGAATAGGCTTGCAGCACCCATCTGTATTTGTACTACCATATCAGTAAAAGAACCTGTGATATTTGCTGGCTCTTTTCAGTGGAGGGCATCACTAGATGATTATATTTAATATAAGGAGCTGGCAGCCTCTTCACTTAACAATCATTAGGAGATCTGCTGCAGAGGTCCCATTTTGTGAGGCAGTTGGAAATTGGCACTTAGTTTGAATGTATTGTTTTCTGCCTTTCTCCTAAAGTTCAAGGACAAGGCAAAACTGTTTGGACTACACAAAGAAAAAAAGTTTTTTCACTTCCCTTTGTTTACTTGGTCCTCTGACCTCTCTGTTTATTCCCCATGAAAATTTATTCCCCAACTAAATTTATTCCCCTATATATACATGAATTAAAAGGAAGTGTGGACCATGTCAGCAAAAATGGAAGTGGAAGGCATGAGGGGAGGTATTTCAAAGCACCACGCAGAAGATAGCTACGATAATCATGTAGACTTTTTGTTGGAGTAAAAATTATCTAGGTCTTCAGTTATGTTTCTCTTGATACTTATGAAAAGGAGGACAATACTGTTACTTCTGTTCTAGGGAACTGAGGCGTAGAATGGGTCAATGGGGAAACCCTAAATCACTCAAAAGGCAAAATGCAGAATAGTGGTATCCCTGTCACTAACCTTCACTTCCTGCTCCTAACCATGCATTTAATTAATTATTTTAAATATTGCTCCTCCCAACTCTCACCCCAAGATGTTCCTACATCTTCAGGACTTTGACCACTTGTTATTTTCCCTGGTAACATATGTCTTAAGCCACAGCTTCGTCTGTAACCTTCTGCTTCCTGCTGTACAGGATCTTCTCAAAAGCTTAAAAGACTTTCTAGTGATAGAGGTTTTCTTTTTTCAATTACAGTGGCTTCATATGACCAAATAATACTTCATTAACCTGATTGCCTAAGGATATCAAGCTCCAGAGGAAACTTGTATTCCTGTATGATTGGCAAGATAATTAGGAAGTGAAATAATGCAAATCCCACCACAGGCAGCCGTCAAAAGATTTACGTATTTACTCTTTGAATTCAAAGTGTGTCATATCATAAATCCTTTTTTTCTTTTAAGGCTTTTATATCCGTAGGTTTATTATCGACCTTCACAATGCACATTTTGCTGGGGCAGGAGGCTTTATGAGCTCAATCAAGTTGGGCTGGTAAATCCACCGAGATTTTTAGTCTGCAGTATCACCTAGATAACACAGGTTCAAGTACACTTTTGCTTTTACTAGCTTTTCATTTGAAGCTCCTGGGTCATGGGCTTTCATTCTGTATTTAGAAAGTATCTACCAGAGTAGATCTACCACAATTAGAGCTTTTATGTGATATTAAAACGCAGGCACAGAATCCACTGATGGCTGCAAGATTTCTTCATTGGCCAGGAGGGTGGAATATTGGATGTAGGTTAGAAACATCTTCATATGAAGTCACCTACTGCCTTCCCTGTTAATAGAGGGCAGGGTGAAGCTCATGTCAGTATTTGTTGCATCTAGGCAGCAGCAGCAGCAAGTGGGAGATTAAATGAGAGAGCTGTATAGATATGGGGTCCTGTTGAGGGTGGCCTTCAGTAAGTAAAAGTCACTTATAAATTAAATGTTTAATAAAACCCTACCAAGTAAAAGGTATCTAATGAAGTTCTGACAGCTTCTCTGTCTGAAAATGGTGAAACCTAAGAAGCAAGGGAATTTGTGGAGTTGATCTAAGGTGGTTGGACCAAAAGTAATCTGGCAAAAGGAAATTAAAAAAAGGAGAAAGAAAAATCAATATTCTTGCTAATGAGAATCAACATTTATCTTGCAGGAAACCTGAAGTTTTGCCTTCTGATTCTGAACCAGCCTTTAAACAAAGGTCATTTTCATTGTCTGTGGAGCAAAGGTAATAATAACTTACATACATCTTCATTTGCTTATTTACTTAGCTGCTACCTGGCTAATGTACTTCATGTCTGTTGAATTGCAGTGTGGCAATTTCCTCTTTGCTAGAGCAACCTTCTGGTGAGGGCGTAAATTGGCAGAATATGTCCCTTGTTGCTGAGTGCAGCGAATGGGCTGATTATGCAAATTTTGCATCTCTGCATTGCATACGTCAGTGGGAAGTTTATGGACTGATCTGTGTAAGACTGTGGCTTTTCATAGGCAGCTTAGGAGCAATCATTGTTTTGCTGACAAAGTGCAGCAGATCAATGGTGCATTTAAGAGTCTGGAAGCAAGCATTCCTTTAAAGGTCATAAGTGAAATGTGTTAATTTTAATCAAAATAAAATGAACTGTGTAGATATTAAGTTGTGAAAGCGGTGGGAATTTGCGTGCTTGTCAGAAATATGCAAATCAGATTTCACTACCCCTTTGTTAAATATGCACAGTGCTAATCATCATCTCTGCATCTCTGGTATGATAGCTTCAGATTTACTGACATTTTGTGGAGATATGTAAATCTCTACAAGCTGGGAACTATTAATTCCTCCAGTGCAGGAATGTAGTCCTTCAGAAGCTTTCTGAAAAGCCACAGGAACTGTGTCCAACTTGTTTACCAGGATGTGAACCTTCCAGAGATTCCTCTTAACTGACTGGGGAAGATAGAGCTATTTGATTTCACCACAGGCATGAGGACAGGCAGGGGGTAGCTGTGCAGTTGAAAGGAATTGGAATAAGTGGCAGGATGTATTTGTATCACTTAATTCCAGTAAACACAAATTAGGTGCCTATATAGCCAGACAAGTGAGAAAAAAAGGGAGAGAGCTGCACTACGTGATTCAAAGCATCTGAAGAAGTCCTGTACCCCAAATGGGCTCTCTTTCATTTGCATAATCAGCAAGAAAGGTAAGTGGAAGGGCTGTCAAGTTATTTTATAGATGTGATTCTACTTATTTTTGCATTTAAAAAGATACACTGAGAGACCTGTTCTGTATCAAGTAATGAAGGAAAGAAGGTGAAATATTTTGATCTTTCCTGTTTTGAGGGTTGAGGTTAAAAAAAGAGACAGCAAACCAGACATGCACAGTTAATGGCAGTATTTGGTGTGTTGTAGTACCTTGCACGTGTTGCTTTTGTGCTGTGTTCTGTTAATCAGACTTTGGTTTTGTCTGTCCTTTAGAATTTTAAGTCTTCCTCTTTTGATCTAACCTTCTGGCATGGAGTGCTTATAACTGTAACACTAATGGTCTCTTAACTGTAGTGCTTCTGTAAAGGTTTGGGATAAGAAGGTGAATAAAATCGAGTAGACTGAAGACTGCCTTGTGTGAAACTACCTCAATGGGTTCCTGTTCTCTGAGCATAATTGTGTTGAAAGTGATTATTGGTGCTGTGAATAGTTTTCCAAAGAGTTTGTGAGACTTAGGAGCAGAAGTCCTATTTAAGCTAATAAGACTAATGCTGGTAGATTACTTTCAGAAATAGGTGGATATTTTCTATCTAAGTAAAATGACAGGAAGGTGGTGACATAGTGGACCTGAAATGTTTTTCTTCAAAGCATCTTCAGTAAACCTTAGTGAATTCAGGACAAGGTTTTGGCAATGCCTGGCTTACAATGCTAGTGGACTACTGTAGATATCAGCAATCTTCTGGATCCTACTTCTGAAAGAGTTTCAGCACAGAGACTATTGCAGGACTAGGAGAACCTGGGGATTTTGGTATGGGAACTGAAAGAATTTCTGAAAGAATGAAACATCCTTAGAAACTGTGCTTGATGACCAACTGTATATGTTTGAGATCTCATAAATGAGTGATGAGAAGGAAAAAATGGGGCAGTTAATCCACAGAATATTGCCAGCTACACAAATTAAGGGGAAAAGGGAGAGAAAAATGGAAAGGAAGAAAAAGAAGATAAAATATTGTCCATCTTCTCTAAGCTACAGCAATCTTGGGTGTTACACTGAGTATAGAATGTGTTATTTTCAAGTAGATTGTACCCTGTCAAAATAATTCATTTCATTAGCCTTGTCAGTTTAGCGTCAAGTAAAATTGAAGGTGTGATTGATATGTTCTGAGTTTAAAAAAAAAATCACATCGATAAGTGTGGCTATTCTAGGCTGAAATCATCCCAGGTGTAACTCCTCTTGACCTCAAGAAGAAGTGGTTGCAGCTAATTAGCCTTTGTCTTATTAGACTTGTGAGAAATCTATTTTTACTGACATACTTTTGAAAAGAACTATTTCAGTCTGTACAAGTTTGCATGAACTTCCTTCCCTGTGCTTTGTGAAGGACATTGATCAGTTTTCATCACTTCCAGAGGACATCTTTTACCACTCTTGCCATACTAGCAGGGTGACAATAGTGAGTTAGTACAAGTTAAAGACTATATGATTTTAGTTTATTTTATTCACTATGTAGTAAATCAATCTAGAACATGTTCCTTTTGTGTTAGGTACGGTCATGCAGTATTAGTGCTGTCCTAAAGGATGAAATTTCAGGATGAAATGTGGGAGAAGGGGTAGTTTTTCAAAGCAGGATGAAGAATAACATGACAGAAAACACTGGTTGTTCCCTGAAGGATTTATTGGGTTGGGTATAGTGAGTGGCAAGTGGCAAGCGAAATTGAAGAGAATAGGTCAGTAAAGGGGAATAGGTAAGGGAAAAAGCTCTCACAGTAAGTGAAGCTGATATAAGGACACTGAATATGGAAAAGTGAGGTGGATGCAGAGGGTTGGAAGTAGACTATGAGTAAGCATAAGGCTGGGAACATCAGTCAAATCTATCAAAAGTAGCTGCTAATGCAGTGATTTTTACCTGAGGAAGTTGTATGGATTCCCTTGCAATCGTAATCCTAATTGTGGAAAATATATGGAAGAATCAGGGTCCTGCTTTCCTCAGAGCTGCACATTTTTCTGTCTGTGAAGTCTCTGTAAGGAAGACTGAATCCAGTATGGCCTTACCTTAACAACACCCTTACACTTTCTAAATTCCTGCTTATGTGAATTTTCTAGTCTCTAGGGCTACTTTGCAAGTGGTTTCACATGTAAATATATCTTTAACAGAAATTACTCTGAATTTAAAGTCTAAAACTGTCTTTATGTTGTTTGAAAAGTACAGAAGCTCAGGCTTTAGTGGCTGAAAACAGAATGGGCTTTCTGGAGAGTTAAATGAAAGTTCCTGAGGCTTTGATTCTGCTCTTTAAAATCTCATTAATCAGAAATGCAATGACTTACTTATGCCAAGAATTTCAGCAATGTCTAGTGATTGCAAGTGCTTCTGTTTTTTGATGTCTCCCTAGGGAAGAGGCAGAATTATTGCAGTGCTGAGAAATTACCTCTGTAAAATTGTCTCAAGTTCAGGACCTGAAAGTTGTTTCCTGTTTCTGAAAACATTGTCCCTACAAGCTACTCAAATGATCCAGAATTGTCTTCATGTCCTCAGCTGATGATAGGATGTTAAATGACTGTACATTGTAGAATACTTTCCTTTCTTAAATGTTGACAGTTACGGCTGTAAAGAGCAAGGAATTATGCTTTGAAAAATAAGATTATTATTTCAAGAATCAGAGTAAAATGGCAACATTCTACAGCAATCTGATGAAGTTGTGCTTTACAGTAAGAAAATGGGTCCGTGGATATTTTTCAAATCTTTCAAGGGTTGTGATACATTGGCCACTGTGTCTTCCTCAAGAGGATTGTGATCTTTTTCTGCAAATAAAGATGTTCCATGAAAGCTTTTAATCAAACAGAACATGCTGAAGTAGTTTAAATATTAGCCATTTATACTACCAAATGCCCTTGGCTGATGTACTAGAATAAACTACCAATATCCTTTTGGTACGGGCTGACTGAATCCTGACAAGGATTCAGTGTTTAATGTTGGATAAGTAGATGGGAAGGAGACATCTGTGAAACCGGACTGCAAAAATATGTGCCCTTCAGATGTACAGTGCTAAAAAGTCCCTTTCATGGACCCTTCTTTTCAATGAAGGAAGTCGGGGTCTAGCTATGTTTTCATATGCTGCCCTACTGACAGCACTGCCAGCCACTTCTCTATATGCATAGTATATAGTCATTTATGACACTTTGTAGATTGTGATCATGGAGGAATTCCAGAAAGAGGAATGTTGCCCACCCTGGAGATTTCATCTCTATATTTTAGGGGGGAGAATCTGAGTTAACAGAATGCATCCTTCTACACTACAGCAGCAGTGTAATAACTGAAGTTCAAACTCTGTTAAATTGTCTTCATGTAAACTATATTTTTTTGCACTACCTCTGTTGTGACTGCTTATCCATAAATTGAGGGTTTTTGCAAGTTTCCATCTCTATCAATACCCATATTGCAACAATCAAAGTGTCTAGTGGATTTCAAATTGTTCTTGAATGTGAGGCACATTTCCTATCAAGGTCAGCCTGCTGTGTGGTGAAAATGCTGCTAATGAATGGATGGTTAGCACCTGGAGGTGAGTTGCATTGCAAAATATCTCCTCTTATGAGTAATCAAGTTGGGAAAGGTGCTAATTTGGTATCACCAATTTCAGAATCATCTCTCTTTGAATGCCACATGCTCCTATGCATTTTATGTTCCATTTGCTTTTGTCTGCAATTTTATTGATGACTGATATTTTGAATGTCTTCTGTTGAGGTCCAAGAGCTGTATGTAAAGGTAAATAAGATGCAAGTGGTGATGTAAAGCTCAGGTAGATATACAGAGGGGAAAGTAACAGATTACTTGGAACAGTTGTATTTTCTCAGAGCAGAGAAAAGGATATTATAGTTTAATAACAGGAGGAAAATAACCTGACTTTCCCTGGTGCTATTTTTTCTTGTCCATAATTGATACCTTTTCCTCCATTGTCTTTAGTGGTTCAACTCACCCGCACTTCTGGAATTATTGGTATGTACAGCCATTCACTTGCCCTTTTACCTATCATCAACTAACTTGCCTTGTTGGCATATGGTGA